GGCATTCCATGCCATGCGTTAATACCGATGGTAATATTAACCTGCAGAAATAATCAAGACTTTAATGTATGATTCACATTATAATAATTAATGTGAAATCAAGTGAACTGCAGAAACTAAAACTTAAGTAGAATTCCAGGCTGAAATTATGTTCACAGCTGTAGGAATATGAGCAACCTAAATTTAGTATGGAAGTTAAAATTTTTAGGCTTTTTTCCACAATGTAAATGTGTTTGTGATCTCAGCTGTAACATTAAAAGGGAGAACAGTGCTGTGAATAAAGCTTCCTGCAGGCCTAAAACTTAAATGCTTTATTGTGGCCCTTCACAGCATGACAAATGACAATTATTTTAATTGTAGATTTTCAAGCTAAATGTACACTGGAGAGTGGTAGGTAGCCTTAGCAGTTATCCATATTGGCATCTTTCACAAAGCAAAGGGTGAGGAGGAGACTGAATTTATTGTGAAAATCTGTAAGAGCTAGGAAAACCTAAATGTCAAGCTAGAAGCACGAGTATGCCCCTTGAAATGAAGGGGCTGATGTGTCTATGCAGGCATGAGAAACGAGATCAGCATTGGGGCAGCTATGAATTAAGAGTTGTGGGTACTTAAGGTGTTCTGCATCTCGACGCTGACTTTTTTAAAGCAAATACAGAAGAGTCTCAGATGTCAGATTCAATTTTGAGTCGCTTAAGGCAGATTTTTTTTTTCTTCTGCCGATGTTGATGAGATTTCTGTGTTTGCTGGTCTGTTCTGAAGATGCTGGTTAGCCTGCTGCTCTGACATCAACGGGGAGACTTCATCGGTAGTTGTATCCTTGATCCACAGATGCAGCATCTCTTGTTGCTGCATGTAAAACACCCGAAGGAGCGGGCGGTTGAATTCTGACTTCCAGGAGCTTTTCCTCCCGTGAAGCTGTTGACGGCGCGGTGAGGCCAGAAGGCGTGCCCCTTCGGAGCCTGACGGACGTCTGCGCGGCACGCGCTGGCCAGCGTGGCAACCGTTTGTACGCAACAGAACTGCTCCGTGTAGCTTGGCATTCAGGGGTGTTAACAGAGCATGCTCCGATATTTTCCACCAGCTACAGAGCTGTTCTCCTATGAATACTGCCTTTGGGATAAGGAATAGGTGTGGGTGTTCCGCTGTGGCGGTGGCAACGTGTGGAAGAGAATATAGATTCAGAGGAGAGGCCTTGTGCATGTCTGCAGTAAGCTGGGAAGGAGCGAGAGCCTTTTAGGTTATCGTGAAAACAGAAGAACGCTTTCTGCAAAACGGAGATTCATGTTGTGGTTTTTAAAAATAAATAAAATAACTCCTGGTAGCTGTGGACATCTTACCTAGAAAGACCTTGCGCAATAATTGAAATAGAGATATGTTTTCCAGTAGCACTAGCGAGCACTGTGACTCATCAGGATAATAATCTGATTTCTGATTGTTAGCCCTGATTATGAAGACATTTTCTTTTTTTTTTTAAATAAGTGTATCAAATGTATCAAAATAGGCACTTCCGTGAGAACCTTTCTAAATCTTTTTATTTCTTTCTTTATATATATATATATAAAGCATTTTACCAGCTAAAATACATTTCTGACCTAGTTTTGTGCTCTTAGACTTTGCTGCGGATACTTGTTTCAGTTCTATGGAGAGCATAGGGTCCTACAGATTGGGTTATAGTGAAGTCTTAAAACATGAGCAGTTCTTTCTAGTCAGTGTAGGAATGGAATAGTAAATTTATAGTTGCATCTTGTTCCATCAGAGTCTGGATGCATTAGATGAAATGTGGTGGTAGCTGTGCTGGTTGAAGAGGCCGTTGCTGTATCTGCTTGTCTCCCAGTCTTGGTGGTGAAATGGCACGTCAGAAGGAATTTTCTTCAAGGAAAATCGGGTGGTTTGTCATCAGCCACCCGACAGACTGTGTAACTGCCCTGACCCTGCCAGCAGTGTGTTCTGGGAATGAGTGCGACAACTGCTCTGCCCCCTCACCAAAAAAAAAATTTGAGAGGCGGGGACATTCAATTTCTGTGTGCAGAATGAGTGTCTGTTTAGAGCCCATCTGGTTAAAAGTTTCGTTAATGTCGAGTTGTACGTCTGTGGGGTAAAGCCAGAACTGTACAGGGTTCAAGAGGGTCAGAGTTAACGGTACGATGTGCCACTGACCGTATTTATCACTTGAATATGCAGAAAGGCGTTTTGAAGAGCAGAGTAAAATTTACAGTGGAGGGTACTATAGCCCGTGAACTGGTCCTTCCCCCACCCTAGTTGTTCCCGAGCTGCTGACAAGAAGGTGGCATCCAGAGCTGTGTTACTGATGGGACAGCCCGCTTCTGCACCCCTCCTTCCCAGCCCAGCCTGGGGACTGAAGAAATACCTGCGTATGTGTACTGCACAGCATGCGCGCGGTGACCGCGACAGCTCTCTTCTGTCCCGTATGCCCTGGAAACAGTGACAAGAACTGGATGTGTGCTACACCCTGGAGTGTATCACGCAGCTCATCTCTCTGAAAATGTGAGGTGCTGCAGCTTTCAAGAAGGAAACATCTGTGCTCAGATATCCTGTGCGAAGTACATTCAAATTCCCACAACGTAACCACAAAGTAAGACCTTGCCATTAAGGGAAAAAAAACCAGACTGAAGAACAATCTCCTCCTACTTAAAAACCACAAAGTGAACAATTTTTCTTGCTGTTGTGCGAACATGACATTCTTCTGTCCCACAAGTCAAATGGGGAAACAATGCCAGGGTCTCTCTCTTCCTGACTCCATTGAACTAGAAATACCAGGTGGTGGCCTTCCTGCAGGAAAAGGAGCGCTAGTAGCACTTGCTTTCATTCGTTTTGGAAGCTTAAGACGCAGAGGTGACGTCTCTTATGAGAGCTGACTTCCTGCTCTGAATCCGAATGCAATGTCATGGAGACGAAAGAATCCCTTACAGTAAGGCAGTTTTACCTGCTTACTACTTGAGTACTTAGGCTGAAGTAGTCCATTTGTATCGAGCCAGCGTGTTTTGGTGTCTGCACCTGAAATTCAGGGCTTTGAAGGAGTTCCCTGTGCCAGCCTTGCAACGGGATGCAAGGGTGTCCGTAACTTGAGTTGGCAGAGGCTGGGAGTATGCGTAGGGCTGTAAGTTTTGGTGCTGAAGTCACCAGCCATTTTGCGAAACTGTGGGCAGGTTTGGACATGGTTTGCATGCAGCTACCCTTGCGTGAGTGCCCTTCAGGGAGGTCCTCGGGAATCTTTCCTTCGTGGCCTTAAATAATCACAGCTCTGATCCTCTTTTGTATGAGAGTGAATTTGCTACCAGCCTGCATCTCAAACCAGTATCTGCCTTTGAATTTCTTTCCAGGTTGACACTTGATTCATTCTATGTTGTGCTTGATGACGTATTTTACAGAAATGGTGCATTGGTGGTGTTCTAACATGTTTATCTGCAACTTTCTTTCAGGTGAACGAGTGCTTTGTTTCCATGGACCTCTCCTTTATGAAGCAAAGGTATGCGTGGTTGCTTATTGCTGCAGACACTTCTGACTGTTCCCCAAGAAAATAAGGAATTGTATTAGTTTACCTGCTGTGCCTCACTAGATAGGATTAAGGACTGAAACGAAAATGAAGGAAAACCTGGTAATGTATGAAATTCATTAGTTTTAAATCCTGGAGCTCTATGTTATAGAAAAATCCCAGAAAACCCAATGGTACTATGGAGCTATTCTGGTAAACTACTAGAGGCTGGGTGGTCTTGTGTGTTGAACACCTGATACACTTGCGTCCCCAGAACACTGAAAAGCGTTTGTGCCCATAGGACTTGGTGCTGGTGCTAATGCATGAGCTAGTAAGTTAGCTGCAGTTTGAGCTTCCTCAGAGGTGTAGGTGGCTGAGTACAATCGGTGGTCTTCAAATGGGACAACGCTGCAGAAGACAATGCTGGATTGAAGTGACAAAGGAAGTGGCACTCTCCATTCTGGCTTTTTAACCGCAGAAACCGTGCATTGCGAATTTGTGACTTGGAGGAGTATCCCTGCTGCTTCAGTTGCAGGCCTCTGCTGCAGCACGTTCAACGATGGGCTTTTCCTGTGGGCCTTAAGCAGATGTCGCTGCCGTGCCATCTGTTTTACTGATGGTATAGCTCCTATTCTGGCTGCCTGTTTCCAGTTCCTCTGAAATTGAAACAAAGGGCTTTTGTAGCTGTGTGGATTAGAAGACTTGCAGAAGTTCCTGGCGCACCTTAAACAGAGATTTAAATCCATTAGGTTTTAGTGTCAGTAAATGTTAACTGATGGGGCAACTTCAGAGAGGTGGTGGTAGGGAGGCAGCTAGAAATACCTGACATCTCTTTTCATGCTATCAGGAAATAGTCATTCTAATGTAAAAATAACATCCAGAGCATTGACAGGGGATGTGCTTGTCTAAACCATTTTCACATCAGTGATTCTGCTCTGTTCTCTCCCTTGCTCTAGAACTGGAGGACAAGTTCCTTGTGAATGTATGCTCAGTGTGTTGTCTTCTGCCAGTGCCTGCCCAGGTGGTAGTACAGAGAGGAATCAAGGCTTCTGGTTTTGTGGAAACAGATCTCTGTTAGCAACAGTCTTAACTCTTTGGTCAGTTAAACAGCCCAGAGCTGCTACAGCAGTGTGCTTCTCTGTGCTGTGCCCCTCTTCTCCTTTACGCAAGGGTGGGATGAGTGTTGTAGGAACTGCCTCTGCCAGCTTGGTGTGCTAGAAGGCATTTCCCAGGTGGCAAGACAGCTTTTGGCTGGCTATTTATATTGAGAGTCTGGATCCTTCTGGGCTCCTGAAATGGCAGAAGGAACGGGATTTAATTTTACAAAGATGCTCTGTAGGTAGTAATGAATAATAACCTTAGCTTTCCTCCTTTGATCTGTTTTTCTTCTGTGATTCTCAATGCGTAAGTTATTTTGTTCCTGATGACCATATCCTTGGCTTCCTGTAGCAAGGTGATCAGAGAAGCACTTGTTTGTGTTAGAGTAGTGTGAAAAATTATGACAAACAGTAACCGTTTGTACATCTCTGTACAATGCAGAGTTACATGAGATTCACTTAGACACTCCTAACCTCCAGCAGGAAGGAAGATATTTTGGTACAGAAATATGAGTCTTCTTTTACTTCATGCTCGGTTCTTGTATTCTTCAAAACAAGAAGACACTTCTTAAGCACACAGTCTGTATTTGGCTGGCTTTAACTCCAGGACTGTCAAAATGAGCCACTGGTGCAGTAGTATATCAAACAAGATTAGGATATCCTTACTCCTAGTTGCAGGTCTAGGTGAGACTGAGTTTAAGTTCAGTATGTGGCATTTTGGAGATTAGCACTGAAATATGATGTTCCTCTCTATGTTGACAATTAAATTTTTCTTAATTGGAGAGGGTACAGGAAGGAGTCACCACAAAGGTCTTGAGAAAATGCTGTACAGCAGAAGGCTCTGCCCTCTCAAATACTTAAGAGGTAACCCAATTAGCATGGAAATGAAATAGCAATTATGACTTTTACGAGTCATTTTTTACTTCAATGGGAAAAAATCCTTAAAAAGGGACTAAAAGCTAGAGCCGAAGAGGGTGATTCTTCATGTTTTACACCACCCTCATTATTTTGCCGTTAAAGCGGTACAGTGGCATCAGTATCTCTGTGTATCTGGAACAAGACTTGATATCTTTCTGGATGAAAAGTGCCTTATTCGAGCCGAAGTTGGTGGATTTAATGTGGTATAGCTAAGAAGTTGAGATACACGAGGTGGGTTATGTAGTTTCTGTTCTGGGCTGTGCTTTTGCAGGAAAAGGCATGTCTCTGGCTATGTTTTCTTTTATATAGATGTGGTAGCTTGAGCTCTTAGGTGCCAGGCTGCGGGGGCAGGAGGAGGTTGCGTTATCGGGCAGCGTGCACAGTTGTTGCAGCTCACCTGAACACATTCCTCTGGATGGGCTGAGGCAGGGTCTTGCAGGCTGCGAGTAGGGCTGTGCTGAACCAGGAGGCAGAAAAGTTTGCAAGGGACGCTTCTGAATCCTGGTGATATTGTGGAGTGGTTGGAGCAACCGTGTTATGTATGCGTTCCCTCTTTTAATGGTCTTGCCTTAATATCAGTATATGAGGAAGTTACTGTATTCATAGGCCAGTCTTTTGATGGAAATAACTGTTTTTATTTACCTCGTGTATACATTCTTAACCTAGAAAAAGCCCTTACTGCAACTCTTTCTACCGAACATAATGCTCTCTCTGTGGCTGTAGAGATCCATATTATTTATTTTACTTTTGAAGACTCCTCTACTTCAGCCAGCTTGCCTGTCTGTGAGGTAGGGGCCTGCATGTGAACCAGCTCTCTAGTGAATGGCTTTTGGCTAACCTGGGGGTAGTGACGTGATGCTTGTTCACTTTTCTGGTCGTCCTCAGGGGTTTCTGATCCTTCTCGTGAATGAAGGTGTCCCTTTGGATAGCTGAGCAGAGTCGCTTGTTTGCCTAGCCCTTCCAAATCGGTCAATAGGCAGTAACTTGTGTTAGAGAACTTACTTTCTGCTGCGAAATAGCTGCTGGTATTTCAGTTGCTTGCATGGAAATCTCTGCATGTTTAAACCCTGAAAGCTAAAAAAAGCAAAACTCATCCAGATCTCTTTGTTCTCACTGGTACTGACTGAACTTTCTTCTCTGTTCCAGTGTGTAAAGGTTGCCATAAAGGACAAGCAAGTGAAATACTTTATCCATTACAGCGGTTGGAATAAAAAGTAAGTATTGCATAAAATGAAAGCAGTATTTCATTTTCCCTTATGGGAAAATGCAAGCTTTGTCAGTGTGGGTGCGAGCGTGATGGCCTAGCGCTACCATGCCTGTGTCCTTAGGAGATTGTTTCTGAAATCGACCTAAATGGTTTTTATACCTAAGCCAATGATTTAGAGTAACACAAAACATGATCTAACCAACCGTTTCCTTCAGAGCTTTGGTTGTGTTGCCAGACTAGCTTAGGGCGTCAGTAGACTAAGGGGAATGCTTTATAGCATTCTGTTTGTTCAAGTTTGAAAATAGTTACTGTAATTCCTCCCTGGCAGAAATAGCTAGTACAAAAACTTCCTTGTTATGTGTTGGTAGGAGAGGCAACCCCTGCTGAGGTGGAGCAAAACTCTCTACTCAAACACGCAGTGTACTTTACTTTTATACCACTTTTGGCAGCAAAGACTTGGAGAAGCACGCCTTAGTGGAGGCTGTGTTCAGAATGGGAAAGGCTGTCTGTTTTAGTCCTTCACTGGAGCAGGTTTAGCCTGTATTTCAGTTCTTGCCTCTCGTGCTAAGGTAAAGTTAGAGATACTGTTCCCTTCTGCAAAAATGGTAGGATTCTAGGTGAGAGACTTCTGAAGAATAAAGATGTCTCCATGAAATAAATGTTCAGCCTATTAAAGGTGAATACTTTGAGATTATCACATTTACATAATTGTCTTTTTTTTCTTTCATTTGAATTCTGTTCTGTCACTAGGTTTTGAATTCAGGAAGAGTGGAATTTTTTTCTTAGCGATTAAAAGCTTCAGCTCTTCAGACTCCAGAAGTCTTTCAGAGAGCACTTTTTCCTCTTTTGTTTTTTGTTTCATTTCAGTGCTGCAGACTCTAGAGTGAAGACTCTTAGTCACTAGTATCTTGATCTCACTGATGTGACTAAAAGCTGAACTTCATGTTTTAATATGTAACTTTCTTAAATGCGCCCGCACACCCTCCCTGCCAAGTGGCCAGATAAATGTTTTATTGTAAACACTGACAGTTACAGGGAGCGTAATTGGTTCTTCTGGTGGCTGCTGTATATTAATGAGGCAGCGTAAATCTGATACTTCCTCTCCTTGTTTATCTCTGATGAAGGGTGCCATAAGTGATGTCGTGACTCCTGCTTTTCTTGCTTGTGCTGTTTGAGTTTTTTGCCTTCAAGCTTCCAATTAACTACATTAAAAGTGGCGTTGCTGCAAGATCTAGACAACTGGGGCAATATAACTCCTTAAATTTGGTTTCTGTAATTATGGTCCTTTGTTACTTGTTAATTGCTCGACTACTTAATTTTTTCTTTTGCAAATATCAACAGTTAGGATACCAAAAAAGTTTCTTCATCATACAGTATAATGTGCCGCACAGTTATATAGCACTTCTTTTGAAGGTCTCTTGCAGCTGTACAGGCAGGAGTAAGATAAGTGGCTTAAATATCTGACCAAAGCACGATCCTAAAAACATAGTCTTAGTATGCGTACAGCTGGATGTGTGTTTCTCTAACTTTTGGATGCTAAGCTTGCCTTGTCTTAACGCTCTTGAAGACCTTGTACTCCTGTAGTAGTATTGGGTTTGACACCTTGATGTTCTAAGATTGGCAGCTATAGCCATGAAATGAAAATGACACAGAGCTCTTTATATAGAGAGCTTTAACTTGGATACTTTAGAATAACTTGGCCACTTTTAATGTGTTTTATTTGAAATAAGTTGTCAGATTGCTCAGATAATCCACTCTTTGTCAAAGTGGAATTCTTGCTCGTAATGGGAATTTCCCCAACACCTGTTCTCTTAAATCGTTCACTTCAGATTCTTCAAATATTCATGCCATCTTGGTTTCCTTCACAGACAGAAATCAGAGCTCTTCTTCTTACAGTAAGATCTTATTGCTGAATTTGTTAACCTATAAAATGTTGGAATAGATAAAGGAAACTTGCGTCATAATATAGTTATGGCTACAGGTGTCCCATAATTTAGTAAGTGTAGAATTTTTTTTTTCCCTGAGATGCTGCTTTTAAATTTAAGACACTCCCCTCCCTCCTAAATTGCCCATACTTCAAGTTTGGGAGACTCTCTGGAAATGACTGAGGATTACAATTCCCTAGAAAAATCGTTACAGCTTCAGTCAGTGGGGAATGCATTTGATAATTTACACTTCCAGTTGTGCCAGTCCATGACTTGACACAAACGCAGAGTTCAGCCTCAGATTCCTTGAAGCTTGTAATTGACTGTTGTGTGTAGAATGCAATTACGTAATGTTTTTGAATGATCGTTAGATTTTTTTTATTTTTTTCAGCTGGGATGAATGGGTACCAGAAAGCAGAGTGCTCAAATACGTGGATACCAATCTGCAGAAACAAAAAGAACTTCAAAAGGCCAATCAGTAAGTATTTTTAAGTCCTTTGTCAGTAAATATTTTTTTATACAGCCTTAATCCAACAACTGTATATCAAGGAAAGTTAGTGATTGAAAAAAAAAAAGCCTTCAAGAGGGGTTCATATGTTCACTTATTCGTGAGATGCTTTGGCTTACAGAGGTGTTCTGATCTTCATCCTCTAGCAGTTTAGAAAGAGCAAGCTGCTACTTAGTTTTAAAATGGTGACTTGAGGTTTTAAGGAAGAGTAGGTTGATGAAATGGAGAGGGAGCCTGACTGACTGCAGTACATCCTGTAACGTGGAAATTAGGTGGCTAAAAGTGACCCTTCTGCAGTGTCCTTAAAATATATTGTTAAGTGGTACGGATCTTCTCAGACAGCTTCAGGATGCCTACAAATACTTCGATTTTTATGAACGCTAATCTTGTATTTCTTTACTGGAAATGCTTTTATTGAGAAGTTGTTTTATATTTTTCAGAAGCAGCGTGCTGCTTCCATGTGATTCAGAATAACAAGGATGGTGGGAGGGGGAGGAAACGGGTGTTCATCCTGCTAAGTGTTGTATGAAGAAGCCTAAATCTTCTTGATATTGAGTTGTTCCTGCTCATGACGCATACTGATTCACAAAGCCATTTACTAGACATTCTCTAAATGTTTTGCATAACCCGTTACCCTTTGAGGGAAAACAAGCTTCTTTTTCCATTAAAGTCTTATTTACAAATTTACTCTTTTTTAAAGGGAACAATATGCAGAGGGGAAGATGAGAGGTGCTGCTCCAGGCAAGAAGACTTCTGGTCTGCAGCAGAAAAATGTTGAAGTGTAAGAAGCTTTTTATTACAAACAAACAAACAAAAAAAAAACCCCAAACCAAAACAAAAACCACCCAACAAACCTCCCAAACTTTTGCTTGTCAGTTTTACTATTGATCTTTAAATAGTAATTTTCTTAGAATGGTTCTGCAGGCTAAACTACAGTACTTCTGACACAACCCATACGAAAGTTGTGTTTCACTTTTGGAGTATCAAAAAGGCCTTTGTTGAAGTATTTTATTAAAACTGCCTTCTTAGATTGTGCAGTGTTTAATACGGAATCGAGGTACTGAGTAGACACTAACACTCTGTACTTTTTTGCACTCTGATCCTCTTAAGCTAGTGAACTGACACTCAAAAAGTGGTGAGTCCCTGTAAGACTCGTGTATCTCAGTGAAATCGGTTTCTGTATAGAATTGTACAGTTCTTCCAAGCTGTGCAAGCACTTTTGAATAAAATCCTTAAAATGCCTTGCCTTCTTCCTGTACAATTGTTAAAACTGCATTTCAGGAGTCTTTGTTCTGCTGTTGTTGACAAAACGAAACCCATATGCTATTAAAAATGGTTTTGCATCTTAAGAGACCAGAAGCAAGCTCAGACATTTATTAGAAAAAATAATTTCAGGATGTAACTGTCGGATTTCTTTCATTCCATCCTTTTTGTTTTTGAGAATAGGCTTGTGTGGTGTTATGTTTAGATTCTCATACACTCAGTACAGCTCTACTGCTTTGCTCATGTGCCATGAAACTCTTCTCTTTGGGGTAGTACTTCACTTAATTATGAAGATGGTCATTACTAATGTGATGTTTTGAACTCCTGACTTCATTTATGATTCTAGTCTTCATGAGGAAGCTGCTGAAATGACATCAATTCCTAAGAAGAGCATTTGGCAGCAGCCTCAGATTTCATGTCTCATTTATGGGCAACTTTATGTCATGAAATAGGTGTCATTGATTTGAGAAGTGCAGCGGTAGTGGGTACAGGTTTTTTTCTCTAGATCCTGAATGCGGATTTCACTTTGGGATTAGTCAAAGCCTAGCCAAGGCTGTAAATTGGCTCTTGGGCTCTGGAATGGGGAGTCCGATGGATCTGGCCATAACGCTGCACGCATGCTCTCTTGTGGTCTGTTGCAGTAGATTCCCAGGTGCTTTAACGCCACTGGTTTGGTGTGCTCTGTCAGCTCAGGACGGACCTCTGGCAGGGACCTAGTCACCCGTTTGTCTTCATTTGGGGGTGAAATAAACCCCAAGCCAAATGTCTGTTTGGACAGTTCCTCGTGGATGTCATTAAAAATCTAATTAAAACAGATCTAAATTATGACCATTACTAATTCGGCTGCTTAAGGGGTTGTTACACCTGAGTCGTCTTGTGTTTTAGTCCGTGGGAGTAGAATTAGTTTCATGTGTAGCTTTGACACAGGTAGCGATGACTCAATTGTAAATGTCTACGATTTGCATTACAGAGAACATCCCAACAGTAACTTCAGGATTAGGTTCCCCATACCGTCAGCTTTACTCATCTTGATAGTGCAGGCTGATTGCAGTGGGATGAGTTGCTCTCTCTGGCTGAGTAAATGCTAAATGTTAACCTGCGCTTGAAATCAAAGTTGGCTTAATCCTCTCGACCACACATAATAATGTTGCATCCAAGGGAGACCCGCACAGCAAAAATGACTTCATCTTAAGTCTCTGTGTAACTCCAAAGCTTGAAAGCATGTTACCGGGTCTGTCTTTACTCTCTGGTTGAAACCAGTTGGGGAAAGGGAGTGGCTTTGCTTTTTGCTGTCACTGCTGTCCTCGGCATGGGTGGTTGTTTCCAGCATAGCAAAACAGACAGTAAGCTAATTCTCTGAAACTTCTGTTTCATGTTGATTGGAAAAATTAATTCCTCGATGGTGGATTTTCAGAGTTGTAAAGGGGAAGAAGGAAAACTATTGTCATTAGAACAGCAGTCTTGCATTATGAAAGTTACTTACTACAGGGTCCCATATGCTCGTTGCACTGATCTTGCTCCTAGTCTCTAGCCATTACCAGCATCCAATGCATCCTTCTAAATTAGACCTGTGCTTCTTTCAACAAAGTCTCCCTGTTTTTCTTCCCTGTTTGGAGGCTGAGGAAGAGGAAATACTTTGCCTGACCCTAGCAGCGATGCAGGGTTGTGATAGTGATTTGTTATTGACCAAACTACTGCTTCTCAGATCCTGCTTACAGCTAAAGGCAAGATGGCTTCTGAAAAAAATCTCAAAATACAGTTCAAAAAATAAAACTTCTGGATTGTTCCCTCGTTGTAAATCTAAGGTCATTGCAGATACGTAAAGTACTGGTGGTGGGGAGGGGGAGAAACTGATCACGCAACTATTCTAAAAGGGTAACACTGTCAACCTATTTGGGCCTCAAAATTTACCTTTTGTAGCATTCTTGGAGGATTGAACAGAGGGAAAGGTAACCTATATTTTGAAACTTATTCTTCAGATAGCCAAACAATAATGGAAAGGAAATCACAATCTAAGCACAACTTATCCTCCAGGAATGTTCAGTAAGACTATAATATGCTGCTAAAAAGGTAAATTTTTGAATCTTAAATAGATTCTCTTTAAGGCTAAACACGAGGTCTGACATTCTTTCCTTAACTCAACCCCCATTGTGCCTAGATTTTTCAGACGAGATGGAGCGCATACTGTTTGCTGTTTGGAGACCCCTACAATATCGACGCGGTGAGTTAAGGATGGATTGTCAAACCAGGATTTTCATCCTGAAATCCAAATCTCCTTGCTTTCTTAGATTTCTTTTAGAGACTCTTAAAGTCCTCAGTTGCAATAATGTAAGCTTTGGTAGCAGTTCAGTTAACGATTACAGGTGCTGCGGTATATCATTTTGGTTTTTTGGGTTTTTTTAAGCCTGTATGGACTACCAGTTTTTAGTTTCTCTGAAATGTACACCTTTTCAGTTGGGAAAGGGTACAATATGAGTAGTCAAATCCATTCAGTGTGTCCACTGTTTAAAACGAAGTGGAGGACAACTGACTTCAGATTTTTGAAACTGCATAGTTCTAGATTACACTTGGTCTGCATGCTTACCGTAGCTGGAGTTCTGCTTCCATGGAAATCAGTAACAAACTGCACTGTCTTCTCGAAGCCTTGGGAGCGAGGCTGCTACGACAGATGGTGTTAGAAATGTGAGGTTTGAACCCGCTCCTTAATGCGCTGTATTTTTATTGTTGGCTTGAGTCTGTTCAGAATAACTGTTTCTGTAAACTGCAGCAACTCGTTCAAAAAGCTTTCGAAACCGTATGTAAGCAGTATTTCATTGAATAGAAATATGCATGAAACACAGGTTGTATACACTTGTTTTTCAAATAATTGTTCATCTTATGATAACTAGAAGCTATCATAGAAAGAAATTTTGTATGGTTATAGCAGGTTGCCAAAAATGAAATATAATGCTACAGATACTGGCTTCTCCAGACTGTTTTAGATGTAGCTCTGCTGAATTCCAGCTCCTAAGAGTTTATGCTACCTTTGGTGGGCCTAATGATTAACTTGCAAAAAATCAGTGAACAATCAAGAGTTAACGGGTGCTTGGAAAATAAGAAGGGCAGCTGAGAGTGTTCTGGAGGGAAGATATGGCACTGAATAACAAATTTGAGAACAGCATCTGTTTTTAAATGAGATGTATGCAAGCAGTCTCATCGGAGATGCTCTCAAAACAGTATCTCAACTTGGGAGTTATTGTTTTTTCTTCTAATAGAAGTCTTGTTCTTAATCTGAACATACTACGCAAAGGCATATGCTCCTGCTGCATGTCTCCTGTGGCATCCTCTGCTATCTTTGGCACAGCTAGTAGCTCTCCCACAAGCTACTTCACATCCTCTAAATGTCAAGCGGCATGTGAGCACTGCTTACATGCCAGTTGTCTAGGGCCGTAACAACGTTGGAATGGCTACACCGGCTCAAGCCGGAGATTTTCCTAACCTCCTCTGCTCTCTGATGGTCACCAGTAACATGTGCTTAGGGATAGTGAGTCAGTCAAGTCTGGAACGCTCTTCTCCCCCAAATACCCTTTTGGCTTCTAGCAGCCTGTGATTAAGGGACTTCGGAGCTGTAGGCTGTATCCAGGTGATGGGTTTAATAGCCCTGTGTAGGACTGGCTTATATTTATCTAACAACTTCTGAACCATTTGGACTTCTGGCATCCCCATCATCTTGTGGCAGCGTGTTCTCGTTTTAATTCAGTACTGTGCTGAAAGGGGAGGGAAGAGGATGACTCCTCCTGTCTCTTTAATGTCTGCTGCTTTGGTTTTTTGATCTTTTCCATCTACCTTGAGGAAAGATTGATTAGTTCTTCAAGCTTCACGTTTTGTCGCTGGTGATACCTCTGCCACATTTCCCTTCTTCCTGCCCAGTTGGCAGCTTGAGAAGGCCCTTGTCTGCCTGGTTACTCCTCGTATAGAAGCTGTTGTACACTACCAACTGTTCTTCGTTCTCTTTACCTCTTCTAGTTTTATTGTGTGCCTTCTAAGGTCAGGTTGCCTGACCAGGCACAGGAGACATATGTGTGTATAATCCGGACTTTGGTTTTTATCCTCTTGCTGATAATGTTTGATGGTTTAATTGAATCTTGATCGGAATGCTGCTTCTCACAGCGAAGTTAGTGACCAAGCTGCTCGAGCAATAGTGGCTGATTTCATACTTTTTTCCAACATACTTATTTTTCACACTTGAATCCTTCCATTTACTTTTTTATTACTAGTCACCTTGTATTAGGAGAGACTTTATGATTTCTTATAGCTTCGTTACAACTGTTGTTCTATCAGTAAACTGGCACCTAATCTCCTCTTTCTGGCACTTACAAATGTATTGAACTCAAGTGCCTGAGACCAAGTGGCAGCTGCCTTCATTCTCTGCTGCTCATATCTTAACCAACAATGGCAGGGAGGTTCTAACAGACCTCTAAGTCCCTTCAAAAGGCACATGGATTTGGGGAAAGTAAAATGCTTGTAATTGTCCACAACATTTTTATCTACCTGGTCATGGACTCCTAACTGTTGTGGAGTAATTAAACTTTCCAAAGTCTTGTTTTTTTCCTGATGTCATTTGTCTGTGTTGAATTCTATTTTCTAAGCTATTTTTATTTTCTACTGACAGTTTTCTAGACACATCCCAGAAGACACTCCAGTTTAGAGCTCTGAGCATTCACACCAACTCCTTTGCGCACAGATTGCTGGCTTCTTGAGGTGGCACCCAAGGCTCTGTGACAGATAGTTCATTATCTTTCTTCTGCTGAATGTCTGTAGAAAGGCGCAGTGCGGTCTTCCAGTATGTTGTCTTCTATGGCATCCTCTTTAGTCTCGCCATTTGATCGTGAACACAGTCCTGTTTCGGATGCTGAGGTTGGAAGTTCAGTATTACGCTCCTGTGGCATGGACTACTTATTTTTCTTCCGAGTCTGTCACCTTTGATATATAGCATTTCATTGTTGTGAGTTGTTCTGGAAGCTGTAATACTGTTTGGTTTCTGCTGATTATCTTGTTTCTACACAATTCCTGATGGTTATGTCAGTAGTTCATTTACTTTTGGCTTTCTAATTCAGCCCCACGTTTTGATCCCCTGTACTTGACTATTCTTGTTACAGCTGCGTGTTCTTGTTCAGCTAAAATAAAACCCTGCAGTGAGGGCTGGGTTAGCTCCTCACCAGAACTGACGGCTGGCCCTGCTGCTTTGAGGCGGTAATGGCTGACTACAGGGGGACGCATCCTTTAAGTTTGAACTGTGACATCTTCAGCACCTTGCAGCTCTCTTCGGTCCTAAATTAAACTCTTTTCACAGAAGCTCCCTTGAAACGTTGGTGCTGCTTTTTAGTTTTGTTGTTGGTTTTCAGTGAAAAATGCCAGTCAATAGAGAAATATGTGAATGAAGAATAGCGGTTGGGCTGTACTTGCTGTATAAAGAGAAGTCAATGAAAGCTTTTATACTGCTTTTATACAGCAGTATAGGGCTTGCTGTTCATAGTGTAGCTGTGAAGTGGCACAAAAGGATGGGTTTTAATCTATCCTAGAGGTGTTTCATCTTTTTGCGTTGCTTCAGGACTTGCGTTCCCTTTGTCCTTGCAGGAAGGGATTATTTGCCATCATGAGGAACACGCACAGTGTTCTTCAGCTCTGTGTCTCAAAATGAGAGCCTGCTTGGTCTGATTAATGGAATCTAGCTATCGAAGATGTGCTGCTCATCTCTGGCTACAACTTTTATCAGCAGGGCTGTCTAACCTCTGCGATACAGATGCCCCATCTTTCTCCTGGACTGAGTGAGCTGCATGCTTCAATTACTGCACACGACAGCAGTGCTTCACCTCGCACAGCTGCCTTCACCTAGTGAAGAGTATTATTCCAGACAGTCTGTCAAAATCTGCCAAACGCTAATGTTTTCTCTCTAACCTTAGCTCTTTCTGTTTGTTCCCTAACTCAGATTTGTCTTTTAGACTTTGCAAACAGATGGCTGCTTTGACTTGAAGGAGAGGCATATGACTTGAATGTAAGGAATCAGGAAATATAAGGAACGAGGTGGGAGCGCACAAGCAGCTGCCTAGAATGGTTTATGCTAGACTCTGCTTCAGTAACATCAATGGGGTTTACTGTCTTAATTGCAGTAGTTCTTTAGGTCATTTATATTGCCTGTCTGTTCCAATTTTGTAAGACTCTGCTTCTAGACTAATGCTTAACATTATTTTTATCTTGTGATTTTAATTCTGGAAAGAACTCCCTGTTCCTCCTTGTTTACTCTAGGTTTGGAAGAAAAGACTTTCTCTTCAATGCACAAGTCCGTTATCAGTGGCTTGACTTGGCAATTGTTCCTTCTTCCTGGAGAGAGATGATCTTTATTCTGCCCACAGTTTAAGCCTAATGCTTGTTTGACTTGAAGCTTGAAAAAAGCCTTACTCTTCCTATCTTCAGACCTTCCTAGAAACTCTGCCTACTTCCTGAGCCAGATAAAACCAGTTCAAAGCCTGAATACGAGAGTCACTTGAGATAGCGGTGAATTTCCAAGGAAATAACCTTGTACTGGTAAAGAGTTTTATCCACACAATCTGCAATTTTTGGAGAGGTTTAACTGGACTCCTATTAATAGTGAGCAAATTGAAACATGACTAGTAGTACTCTTAATTAAAATTTTCTGAAAATGGTTAGTAAATATACAAAGTTAAGATAATAACAAAAATACCTGCCAGGATGGTTTAATTTTGTCATTGATACTCTTGACCTACCTGAATACTTACATGTCGTGTGCATTGTATTTCAGGTGTCTTTTAAAATTTTGGAAGTACAGCTTTTCCTTTGGAATAAAAATAAGGGCTAAGGATAGAGACTTTAGAGAAGCGTGAAGTGTATAAATTAGAAACAGTAAGTGTTCAGAGAAGCATTTGGAAGAAGATAAATATTAGGGAGAAGGCCATTTAGTACAGTTCCAAATGTTCCTAGTAAGTGGCAAGTGTAATTGCGATCTCCTCTAAAAGATGATGGTGGAGTTGTAGACAGTCCATGCAGCTTCACGCACGTCATTCTGATAGTGCTATTTAAGCATAAGCATTTATGTCTGCTGGTATTTAAGCTTCCCTCTACTGCTGTAGTGGTAAAACTATGTTTTTTTTTCACTACTTTACTGGAAGATTTATCCAATAATTCCTAGCACTCCTGTTTCCTTGTACCATATTCTGTCTCTAAGTGATCCCTGAAATACAGAAATAAAACCTACAAATCTAGTGTAGTTTTCCAAGAGCACTTGGAAAGTATGAAACATCTCTAGATATTACTTGCATAAGTGTCAGTCAGTACTGTTTTTAAATACTTGTGTGTTCTTGGCATGCCTTCTGAGGTTTTGTAGGTTTAAGTTAGCAATTCCTCCCCAAAAATGGTGAATGATAACCTGCTAAATGAAAAAAATCTTGTAGTATCCTAACTGTGATGTTAAATCATATCTGGCAGTTCTTACATGTGCTTTTATGCAACTACTCCATAGGCCACTGAGTATTCGCTCGTTGTTCTGAATGTAATGGACAACTCTTCTGGCTTTCTACTTTTGATTCTTTAAGTACCACTATCTTTATATTTGCAATAATTTGTGTTCTTCTTGCAGGAAAACAAAAAAGAACAAACAGAAAAGTAAGTATGTCTTTATTTTGTATATAAGCGGATATCCTTAGTGAAGGATTCTTAGCTGGAATAGGACCTTAAATCTGCCTCAACTAAGTTTACTTACTATCACCTTGTGTTGTTCCTCTTGGCCTTCGGATGTCCCTTCCTCTTGGTCAGGAGGACTGCATACTCTTCTGGTTTGTACACAAGCTACTTGTTTCAGTCTGTCATGATCTTGACCTCTTGCAAATTAAAAGCAAAGTGATATCTCCATGGAGCTGTTGAAACAATTTAATAGGTGAAACTTATGTTTTCTTACTGAGATGGAGATGTGACATATCTGCAAAGCTGAGTCGATGGTTCCAAAGATTCTTCCGAAAGATACTGATGTATTCGTTTGTTTTTAATGCAGGAACTGCCATCTTCAGATAAGTGTAAATATAGCAGTTTAAACTGTTATAAATTATGGGCAACTTCCAGAATACAAGTAATATTTAAACCAAAAACAAAGTGAAAAGGTGACCTGAGACGAATCTGAGCCTTACTTTTAAATCTTTCTAAATCTTTTTTACTGGTATTCTTACTGACTTACCAGATTTCTTAAGTGGCATAATGTCTTTTTTTTTTTTTCCTGTACAGCTCCAGGAATTGGAGAAGGGAGCAGTACCAGTGAGACTCCTCAGCCTCCTAGGAAGAAGAGGGCTCGAGTAGACCCAACGGTTGAAAGTGTAGGTATTTCTGATCCGCGCAGGATTTTTGATAGAAAACATTTCTTTGCTCAGAAATACAGACAGCAGTACTCTGTCCTGCAGTAGGGCAGTGTGAAATGTTACAACTTGCAAAACCAAGGTTCCCAAGTGGCCTTGAAAAAACTAAGCTATTTCCTTGTTCCCTGTGGAGCCTAGAGGAGTTACAGTAGTAATTCCTCAGTCCAGTGGTGTATTTCAGTTGTAAAAACAAGGAATGTGGGTGACTCTTAGCTTGGATAGTTACCTGAAAGTAATTGGTCTGGCTTCACTTTTTTTTAGGAAGAAACATTTATGAACAGAGTTGAAGTAAAGGTGAAAATCCCAGAAGAGCTGAAACCATGGCTGGTAGATGACTGGGACTTGATCACCAGGCAAAAGCAGGTAATTAGTCAAAAGAACAATCTGGCCAGGTATAGGCGAGGACACTAAAACTAGCATTTCATCTCCTCTTCCAATGCAGTGTAGTGAAATCTCTTGGAGAGTTTGACAGCAGCTTGATGGCTTACTTGACAGTTCTCATTCTGGTTGGATTTTAACCAACGGTCACCTGTGAGGAGGACTGTGGCTCAGCAGCGTTGCATGTGAATTTGTAGAATAGGCTCGGTCTAATCAAGCATGGCTAGAAAGGCAAATAATTTTAAAAAAACTTATTTAAGCTTTAAGTGTGGTGTTAACTCTACACATGCTTGGCCTGCTGGTATCTTTTGACGAGTTTACTTAGTTGGTAGAGAATTGGTCTGTAGGAACGTCACATGTGATGCATATTTTATCTCAGCTCCTTCCTGCCTTTTTCACACGTCACTCACTGCCAAGTTCTGCAAGCATCTTAAGTTGTTCTACAGCTCTGACAGAAAGCTGTTGCTTAGGATAGTGATTCTTAACTTCTGCCAGGGTGGATCCATATAAAGCTTCCTGATACAGTAAATTAAACTTTGCTTTCCATTTTAAAAGTATAAAACATTTTCATGAACTTAAAACTTAATAATGAATCATGACTTGTTTCTTGTGTGAAACTGCTTACTAAAATTGGTGAGGAGCATAGAAAAGATCCTGTTGAAAACTGCTTGCTGTTGTTCGGTAGGTTGCACTTGCGTGCTGTAACTTACTGCTACTCTGAGGTGCCGTCTCTGTTCTTGCAATCCCAGACGTGTAAAAATCTTGAACAAGTCCTGCGTGGATAAGGCTGACTTTTCTTGGTGAATACAAATCTTAAACTTGCACCAGCAGTAAAGGTGCTTAAGCATCACTGTGTGTTACACTGTCTTCAGTTCTGGAGAATTATTTTTTTTCCCCCCCCCCCGAATGCCTTCAGACTGTACTGATCTTGTGAAAGGAAATAGATAAGCAAACTGGGGCCCGTGCCTCAAAAAAAACCCCAAGTATGTGAATTCGCTGAGCCTTGCCGTATACGACTGAACTAGGGTCTGTGGGTGCAGATGATCTGTGTACGGTATCGAAGATGGAAGTTAATTCTTGGTGAATCATGGCTGGGAGAATTTGTCTTCAATTCTCTAAGCTCTGATGTAGGTCTGGTACTCTCCAGACTGTGCAGGCACTGGAACTTCCCGGCAGGTGCTTGGCAGGCTTATTTGCTTCGCAGCAATTGCAGGGCTAGGTGCTGAGCTGTGGGTGCAAGAAGAGGAGCAGACAGAAGGATAGGCAAAACGGTCACCGTTGCTTTTGTACCTGCTGCGTGGCCTGGCGTAGGCAGGTCTGCAGGGGCACGTGTGCGCTTTGCTGCGTACCTTTGCCTCTTAGGGTGACTTCAGCCGTTCATCGTCAGGTTGCTGTTGAGCAGCACAACTGTTACGGTTTTTTGGTGTGCACAGCTAAACCAGTTGAGTGTTCCTTTAATCACACTTAACATCTTAACCTGTTAATTTTATTCTATAAATGCCCTTATGTATGTTGATTTAATTTTAGCGTGCAGATATAAATGCCTGCATAAATTGGACAACTTGTATTTGTTTGGTTTTGCTTCTTGTGTAGCTCTTCTATCTTCCTGCCAAGAAGAATGTTGACTCCATTTTAGAGGATTATGCAAACTACAAAAAATCACGAGGAAATACTGATAACAAGTAAGCAGTGGTCATTTCAAACCTTAAATACTTCTTTTGCTGCTGTTGTTGGACTTGTATTTCATGGAAGACTTAGTAAGGTTTTTGCACGTGTCCCAGCCCTATGTCCAGCTTTGTGTTCCAAGACCAAGGTGATCAAGGAGTTTAGAAATCTTTGAGGAGGTAATTCAAGAATGCAGTCCTGCTTTCTGGATATTATTTCTGCTTCCCTCGCTTTCCCTAAGCCTTTTCCTAAAGGAAGCTGATATAAGCTGAGTGAACAGTTCTCCGGCCCTTTGTTCTAGCTCAGGCTTCCTGCGTTGGGTGAATAAATTCAGTGGCACTTGCTAGGCGCGAGATGAACAAGCTATCAAAAAAGCTGCCTAGCAGATGAGCAAAGCGTTGCTGTATGGGTGGACTCTCCCGTGGAGGTAGAGGGGTGGGGGACAGGGAGGTAGACGATGACTTTTGAAGGAATCAGATGGGCAGAGCTAATTACCTTAGGTGATAGCTTTGAAGATTCTTATTTGTAATTAGCCCAGCAGTCCAGCCCTGACAACAAACAAGGTGTGTTTATTCTTGAACAAAGGCCTCCTGTTTTAAAGGGAGAGAAACTAGAAATGTGAAGTTGTTTCCTTCCATTCAAGAGGAAGCATACTATTGACTTGTCAGGGTGTTTTAACATTCTTTTATGTAATTGTCCTAATGTCTGTTCTAAATTTGTTTGCAGGGTGGAGTGAGGGTTGTACTTCTCAGACTTGCAGTGTCACTGCTAATTCCTACACAGTTATTCTCCAATTAGTTGTGAAGTTGGAGGCCTGCAGGAGTATGGCATTGAGAGGCCTAGTTAGAAAGGGGCGGTTGCCTGCAGCGTTGGGTGGCTGTCCCTTTCTGTTAAGCAGGAGTTCAGTCTGATTACTTAGAGTATTGTACTCTTAAGCTGATGTGAGTTGGGGTTCACTTTGGTTGAAAACACGAGAGCTGGTAAGTGTCCTTAGAAATACTGTTGCTTTGAAAGGACTGCTCTAAGAGTTAACGTCTTTATGTCAGTAGATGACTGAAAGCAAGGCTTTTTTTTGGTTTGCCTAAATCTTACTGAGTTCAGAACACTCCGTTTTTAAAGGAGGTCTTGAAGTGCATCACTCCCTGCGGCCGTACATTTTAAGGCCTCCAGAGAAATTTCCTTGAAAAATCTGAAGGCTGGTAAAAGATCTTTACGATCTTGATGGCCTCGCCAAGCCAACTCTCATCTTGTGTCCACCCAGTCACTTGAACAAGACTTGCAGTGTTTCCTCTGTTTACCAGGGAGTATGCAGTCAATGAAGTCGTGGCTGGAATTAAGGAATACTTCAATGTCATGCTGGGAACTCAACTACTGTACAAGTTTGAGAGGCCCCAATATGCTGAAATTTTAGCAGATCACCCAGATGCTCCGATGTCCCAAGTCTATGGTGCCCCACACCTGCTGAGGTTATTTGGTGAGTATGGCCTCCCGAGACCGAAGCTGAGCAGTCAGAAGTCTCCAAATGCTTCCCCTCCCTCTCTTGAGTCTGGGGGTGTGCACTGCAGAAACCTGACCAGCAGCTATGAAACATACGGTTTCGTTCTTTCCTTATTCCACGTACCTAAAATGTTCAGAGCCACTCCGGGATTTAGAATGGAAATGGATTTGAACAGCCTAGGTATTTTAGGTGGGCTTTATGTATTGAAATAGATTCCCGGGCTGCTTTTATACGCTACTGTAAGGTTTTCGGCAGTACTGAAATACTTGTTAAAGTTGTTGTTTATAACTAACAAGTGCTACTTCTTTTGAAACAGTGCGAATTGGAGCTATGCTTGCTTACACTCCTCTGGATGAGAAGAGTCTGGCTTTGCTCTTAAACTATTTGCATGACTTCTTAAAGTAAGTACCTTTTAAGTCTTTCAGCAAGAAAGAAAAAGTTAAGTAAGCACAGGCTATTGTAATGTGGCCTATTTTCAGTGAACAATTGTTACAGATATATACATATATATATATGTATATATATCTGTATCTTGGGCTTGTGCATGACGTGTTCATCAAAGACTGCCGCGAAGCTTTCTCAAGCCGTGCGGTACAGTAACGTGGGTAAGACCGGCTTTAACTTCTCTCCAGTTATACTAAGGTTATTGCTAGTTAAACGTGTGTTTAGTATCTATTAGTCTGCACTTTTAAACTGTCCAAGTCTGCTACTTGTTTAAAAATCAATGTTGAAGCATTTATTTGTAGTTGCTATAAAAAGTAGACGCCAATTACACCAAACTATTGAATTGCACAATGGTTACTCAACAACAATTGAGCAAATGTTAAAAACTGATGAACCTTACTCGTGTTATTTCTGGGATAAACTGTCATTGTAGCTTTAGTGCACTGTACTACGCTGTGGTGCTGTAGACATGTTATCTTTAGGATGAAAACCTCACCCTAAATACAAGACTTTAATGTGAAATGTTTCTTAAAAAAAAAAATTGGATATTTGATTTCAGGCAGGTGATGAAGTACTTCCTCACTGCTCCAAGGAACTATGGAGTCACTTGCTGCTTAGTTCACCTGTAAACATTTCCTGAATGTGAGATGCTAAATAGAAGTAAACTTCAGTTTCGTGCCTGTGTCATACCTGTATTCCCCCATATGCACATGTGAGCGTGACTTCAGCAGCTTCCGTGCGTCCGTACTGCACTGGAGGAACGTAGCGTTATGCTTCTGCAATTTATTTATACACATAGGCAGGGACCGGCGTGTGGTATGAACCCGTGTGCCAGCTCGCAGCGTCGCTGCAGCTCTTAGCTTTTGCTGTGCTGGCAGATCTTCTTGGTCAAATTTACTAAAGCTGTAAACTTCCATTTGTGATTATCTCGTGGAGAAGAGAAATGTTCTGTGTATTTTCATACAAGGCTTTAGTAGTCTGCTGATAGTGTTTGCAAGTAACCGATTTGTAAATACTTAAGGTAACAAAGCATTAAGCTGTTTTGCCAGTAAATAGCAGCTTTTACCTCAGTGTGATGGGGTAAGCTATCGGAAGTTGAAAGAAAACCCTCAGCAAATCCAGGACAGCTCTGTAGTAGAACTAGAAATGGATCAGCCTGACTTCAGGGCAAACTTGCCTTGGAATAGTCCTAGAGGCTTGAGCAGATCATAGTCTTGTGGGTCAGCCTGAAGTAAACGCAGGTGCTCGAGAGCTTCCAGCTGTGAAGATAGAATTGTTAAGGCGGTGCATTGGCCAGAAATCCCTGCGTCCATTCGACGAGGAGTAATGGCATATAACGCTTACCTTCTGCTGCCGCCCTTAGTTGACCACTGCTCGTTTTGCTCCAGCCATGCTCATTTAGCCATTTGAGTTCCGTGTTTGTGCAGACAGAACTTCATCGTGTCCTGCTCCTTGTCCCTACCCCGCTGAGTACCATCGGTAGTATATCGGTTCTTGGTCCAGCTGCTGACTGAACCTCAAACGTCAACGGTTTCATCCTGCTGATCTTAAGCTCCCTGTGCTCACTTGGAGCCAGAGTTGCTCAACAACTTGTTTGGAATTGATTTTTTCTGGCATGAGCTGTCAAATCCTGACTTGCTCTACACAGCTGACTTTTTAGTAGCTACATGTTAGATTTGTACTGTTGCAATCATGTTTTATGGTCTCAGCAAGCACCTAACGATTCACTCGTGATGCTAACCAACAGAGACTTCAGGCAAGAAGGTAATTTAATCTTTTCATTATTTTTCACAGGTATTTAGCAAAGAATTCCTCCGCATTGTTTAGCGCCAGTGACTATGAAGTAGCCCCTCCTGAGTATCATCGGAAAGCAGTATAATACTGTGCTGCTTTGCAGCGAAGTGATAATTGGATCCTTGTAATACTGTCCACTTCTACATCTTGTTCTTCACCTTCCTATTGCACATCTCTCTTGCACAAATTATGTAAACGTAAAGTGAATAAAGTTGTGTGTTTAAAATGGAACTGGCATTTGTAAGTTCTGAAGATTTTCTTGTCCCCAAATGGAAGCTTGGAGTTTAATGGGAACTCTTTGGTGTTTCTGGCTTGCTACTGTTGTTTGCATCAGTGGAACGTACAAAGAATGCGTTACGAGGTCTCATTGTACGCACTCTTCCGTGCTCGTGGGTCTGTCGTGCCATTAAGATTTGCTTTGCTGACCCGCTGTATTGCGTAGTAACGACAAACGCAGGCGCTCAGACCCGTCGGGGCTGTGGTCACCTAGTGTTGGTGCTATCGATTAGTCTGACTTTCAAACCCATTTGCGTTCTTGGTGTTGGAAGTAAAATGTTTGGTTCATAAATGTATGTTTTTATTTAGATAGTGGAAGGACTGTGACATTTTTATATTCTAACAATAGGAAAATGCATTATCATATCATAGTGTCTTGGAAATGTTAGTCTTTCACAAAGCTGTTTTACAAATCTTCAAATAAACTTTTTTAATTTCAAGTGTTGTCTCTAATACTTGTATTTGCATCAGTCACTACCTTATGACAGTGTCCTGTCGAGTATGAGCGAAGTGTATTAAGTGTGGTATGAAGTGCTGCAATATTGACTTGGAGATGCTGTGTTTCTTTTTCCCCCTAAGGACTAGTAGTTAAAGCCCATGCATCCAACCCCAGTGGGTGAAGTGGATTCTTTTTCTCTGGGACCGCTGTATAGTCTGTAAGCAGTGAGAATGCAGTTTCCCGACATTTGTGGCAGAATACTTGAAAGGCTTGTTGGTTAACGCCTGAGCCCCCAGAGCAGGCTTTGCTGGCTTCTGTCAGTCGCCTTCCCGTCTAATTCGATTTTACACACGTAGCGACATCCCAGATGGTAAAGCGGAGGGCAAGGGAGGTGTGCCGCGAATTGCACCGCTCGGGCAGGCTGCTGTTTTCAGTGTCTTTCTGGAAGCTGTTGGAATTCCCTGTGCTCCTGATCCTTGTCTCCTCCATAAGAGAGCTGTGGCTGCAAAATGGGTGGTGAAGAAATGGTGGTGAGAGATGCGGACCCGCGCTGGCAGGAGGGAGGGCCTGAGGCTGCGGGTGCCTCATGCCTGCTAGTGTCACAGCCGGACTTGTGTTGTACTTGGCTTTGGCCTCCCCCTATCAGGCACGTAAAGCTGATCTCTTCTTGCTGTTGCAAGTTCCCTGCAAGCTTACGCGCTTTTTCTGGGAAGGTCGCTCGTGGAATTATCTCTGAGCTGCGTAATACATGACTTGCTCTATTGTGTAAGTCCGTGTCCTGTCTAGCTTTTGTTTCTTTTCCTTGCTTCCCTGGGTGCTCCCAAGGCCGCTTGTCTGTGCTGGGGCATGGTGAAGTTAGGAACTCGCTATTCCAGCTCAGTGCTGTCTGGGAGCCATCTCCTGTTCACGTCTTCTGTCCGTGTCTCTTCCTGCCCCCAGGCCTGTCGAGAAACCCTTCTGGTACGGCTCATTTGGATCAGTTTTACAGTAACTCCTTTCCGTTTGTAAACTGTGCCTACACGCTTCGTTACTTAGAAGCTGATGCCCCAACCCAATACGAAGGGGGCTCGGCTAGGCCGAGTGCGGTGCGGCAGGTTGGCTTTGCGTGGCACGTGCTTTCTCACCTTGATGCTGTGCCCATGGGATGGGATCTGGGGTTCCCCTGTAAGCAGCTTCAGCTCCTGGGGCAGCAAAGCATTAAACTCCATCTCCTGTGCACCCTGCGCCCCTTTTGCCAGGAGAGCAGTGCTGGTTGGGGCGAGCGCGGGATGAAGAACGAGGTTTTCGGTCGCGTCTATTAAAAGCGTTGCGTGACTTGGCTATGGTCTAATAGCTGCTATTTCTAGGCAAAATACCAGGTTTTAATCACAGTTGTTGTTGCAGGAAACAGCAGGATCTGGGGCTCTGAGAGCTGCTCTGCCAGAGGGCCGGGCCGGTGCTGGCGGGGAGCCGTCCCTCGCTGCAGCGGCGGCTGGCCCCGAGGGAGGCTCCGCGGGGCCATCCCACACCCAGGCGCTTCCCCAAACGTGGGCTGCACCCTTCCCAGACGTCCTGGTTTCTGGGATAGAGTTAATTTTCTTCCTAGGAGCTGGTACAGTGCTGTGGTTTGGATTTAGGATGAGAGTAACGCGATAACACACTGATGTTTCAGTTGTTGCTCAGTGCCACTTACACCAGGCAAGGACTTTGCAGCTTCCCCTGCTCTGCCCGGTGCACGAGGAGCTGGGAGGGGGCACAGCCCGGACAGTGACCCAGACTGGCCCCAGGGCTATTCCTGTATTAGTACTACTACTACTATTACTACGATTCTATTTTATTTTACTTCAATTATTAACCTGTTCTTGTCTCAACCCACGTGTTTTCTGACTTTCACCCTTCCCCTTCTCTCCAGCGGGGCGGGGGAGCGAGCGGCCGGGTGGCGCTTAGTTGCCGGTGGGCGTAAGACCGCGCCACCAGAGCAGCTGCTGGCGCGTGAGGGTAGGAGCGGGCCGGGGAGGGCGGCGGCAGGCCCGCAGTCGTGGTGGCTGTCTCCCGAGGTGGGTGCCTGGGCAAGAACCCTCCCTCCTCCGCCTGCCCTCCTGTACCCAAGCACCAGCGCTCCTGAATTGGTTCTGCTCTGTGTAGGGCGGCGCTGGCTGCGGGACGGTCTCCTGCAGCACAAACGATAAGCAGCTATCCACAGGAGCAGCAGGGCTCTCGTTAAATGGAAAAGAACAATATTGAGCGAGGATGGGAGTGGAAGTTGCTGTGGAAACCGAGGCGGTGCCGGAGCGGCCGTGGTGCTCCGGTCCCTCCCTAGGGATCCCGCCCGGAGGAGCGCAGGGGCAGCACCCCGCCACGGGGGCTGCGGGTCCCCTCGCCCGGCTGCGGGCTGGCGGGAGGAGAAGCCCTGGAGCTGCGTGGGAAATGCAGGTGGGTGCGAGAGGATGCCTGCTCCGCTCGCTGCCTGGTATCCTTACGGCCCCTGGGTGCTCCTCTCTGAGGAACAGCTTCATGAGGCCAATCAGCTACTGCTCTGCTTTTGTCGTGGCTGTCGCCCAGCCGAAGAGCCGGGATTGCGTTCTGACTCTGAACAATGGGTTTGTCCTTTGCCAAACTGCCCCGGGAGTGAAAAGAGCCTTTTGCTGTCAGTGCGCTCATGTTTGTAGAACAGCATTTACAGCAGAGACCTGTATGGATCTTCTGGTGATCCCTTGGTGGCTACTTGGGTGGCTCCCCAGTAGCCTGCTGGAAAACCGGGAGTAGGAGGGCCAGCATGAGGGTGGGAGAGGGAGCTGGGGGTGGTGCCAGCCTGCAGCCCGCCTGGGGCCAGGTCTGTACCCCAGCGAGGGTCACAAACGCATCCCTCTCACATGGAGGAGCCTCCTGCGCTTTCTTCTACTGCTTCTGTGCTGAATTCATGAGAAATTCTCCTTTTCCCAGCTGTGTTTGCGTGCAGTGCGCCACGTTGCCGTGCGGGGAAGCAAGGCCAGTAGGCAGTCGGAGGCTCGGCCGGTATCGAGGTTTCGGGAGTGCTGCAGCCCTGTCCCCGGCCCAGGCTGTTTCGCTGAGGGACGCCTGGGTTGCGGGAGCGGAAGGTTGCCGGGGCTTTGCTCCTGCGGTGCTCGGCCTCCCCGCGGAGGGGATGCGCCCAGTGCGGCGTTGCCGCTCTGAGCTGGAAGCCTCTGCTCCTTGCAGCTCCTCCTGGGAAGGATGAACTCTTCCTGGCCTGAGGCGTTAATCACCTGCTTCCCAACAGCCATTTCACGCTAAACTCGGAGTTAAATTCCTG